AAAAAAGAAATTACCCAATCAGAGCCACTAAAGTCTATGCAGAATAGTGACAGGAAGTAGCCTGTAGCCTAATGAAGAAGAAATGGCAAGATGATGAGGATTATAACATGCCATGAATGCATGCAGGATTATCAACACACCAGATTGCACAATCTTCTCCAACAGATGACAGAACTGAGCAGTCAGTGAAAGACAGGGTAAGGTATCAGATTTGATGAGAGGTTAGTTGAACAAATCGATTAGAAATTTCATACAATGAAGCATGGGCTAAACAAACAAGTTGATGAAGCAATCCCGTGAAGGTAATGGAAGAAATATCTAAGATAGAGGAGGAATTCCAAGGAATAAATAGATGGAAGAGTGAACCTTGAAAAAGAGTAGCACAGGCCAAATAACACTGAACTGCACGGACAGGACAAAGAAGATAATCAGGATCAGAATGAGAATAAAGGTGAGAAATAAATGAAAGGGAAAGATGAACGCTCTTTCCTTAACAAGCTGTGTATGTTTTAGGTAGAAAAGCATGATCAGGATAAATAAGAAGATAAGTATGATGGAAAAATTACAAGAAGATTCAAAGGCATCAGAATGTTGAAGGCCACAGTCAAAAAGGAATAAGAAATAGGTTTTAACAGAAATATGGTACAAGGAACAAGAGGCTAAAGGCTTAAAATGAGGAAGGGTACGGGTGTGGAGAACAACATTCAGATCCCAATTAGAAAGGACAATGGGATGGGGTGGAGGATGAAGGTGATGAAAAGGATGGAAGACCAAAGAAACAACAGGAGAGGAGAATATGTGACATTAATGGGAAAACCTGAAAGTATAAGAAAGTGCTGCCCTGTATCCTGTGATGGCCAGTAGTGATAAACCTTGGTCAAATAGCCATGTAAAAAGTTTAGAATGATGGGAGACAGAAGGATAGGAAAGGGAGAAAGAACAGCATAATGACCAACTGTGGAAAATACACCATTATCTTTGACAGACAAGGAGGAAGGAAGGACAAAAGAAATGAGAAAAAAAAGGAATGCTACATATTATAAAGAAAGTGCAGAACATCTAGAAAGGGACTGGACAAAACACACACATGAAGATGGCATGATGACACTGCTGAATGTGAAGGGGAAGAATGAGGGCAAAGGAGTAGGGATCATGATAGAGATAGAGGAAAAGACAATTAGAGACAGTTCTTTAGAGGAAACCATGGTTGAGTTGATCAATACAGAGTTATTAGGATGACTCGGCATAGTGTCCTAAATGAGGGAAAGAACATGAAGGAGAAAACAAATAGTAGGGTAGGCACATAGAAAAAATTAGGCCAGTCCTGACTGAATGCATCCACAGCTATATCTGATGGATGAAAAACAGTGGACAACAAAAGGGGAAGTTTGGTGCTTGTGATGAGTGTTTTTTGTTTGTTTTATTTTTGAATTTTTGTGCAAAACTACACAAGGGCTACCCGTGCTAGCCATCCCTAATTTAGCAGTGAAAGACAAGAGGGAAGGCAGCTAGTCATCACCACCCACTGCCAACTCTTTACTACTCTTTTACCAATGAATAGTGGGATTGATCGTCACATTATAACACTCCTCACGACTGAAAGGG